CGAATTTAATCTGACCAAGATTTTGGCCGATTCGAATTGCATGCACATTCTCATGATCATGGTCATATGAGTTCTGAGTACTGCTGTTTTATAGTTGTGCTGTTGTGCTGATTGCTAGCTTAGTTTTGGTAAGAATTCGGTTGTTGCTATTGTATTACTTTATCGTGAATCCTTTCTTATTAGTTTGTTGGAGATTTTGCGTTATCGCATAAGTGTGTGAGTGTATTTAAACTTTTAAAGGCATTGACTTTGTTTATAATATTATGTTTGCAGTTTTAGTACAAATCAAGTCTGAGATGCGATACATATTACGTATACATGTATATAGGGTCTGCGTGTTATCATATCAGCTCAGTGAGCTGAGTAGTGAGTGTGATTGTGATTGAATTTTGAAGCCCTACGAAAAACGAAAAGGAAGTGTTTTCAAAAAAGTGAAAATCTTTGACTCAGTTTGACTTTGATTGACCGGTTTTACCATACTCATTTCCCCCAATAGAGTGTAGACCGTAGACCTGTCCTAGTCTAGATCTAGACCTAGTTCTAGATCTAGATCTAAGTCAGTGTTATAAATTAAAAACCGTAAGTCGGTAGGGATCTAGGCCTACTAGATCTAGATACTAGGCCTATATCTGACTATAGGCCTAGATCATAGATCTAGACTAGACCTAGATCTAGTCTAGATCTATTAATTTCTAATTCCAATCATAAATATCTTGATAGGCTAGTTGATAATTAGACAGGTCACAGCTGACAGGCGATCGGCTTGTAAAAGTCATGGGATAATAATTATCCCCTCGCCAAAGAAGGAGGGGATCTAGACCCCTGTATTATGCTACTCGCTGTCGAAGCCCGACCTTCCTTCTGTGTGCATTAACAAATCTGGTTTAAAATCAATAACTTTAGTAATGTTTGACGGATTTTAATGAAATTTGATATGAAGGTAAATGGTATAAAAACACCGCATAAGTTCAATTTCGGAGTAAGTAGGTCAAAGGTCATAGCTCATTAAATATGCGAATCTGGTTTCTGTTCGATAACTTTAGTAATATTTGATGGATTTTCATGAAATTCGATATGAAGGTACAGGGTATAAAAACGAGGCATAAGTTCAATTTCCGAGTATGTAGGTCAAAGGTCATGGCTCATTGAATATGCGAATCTGGTTTTTCGATCGATAACTTTAGTAATGTTTGACAGATTTTAATCAAATTTGATATGAAGGTACATGCTATCAAAATACAGCATAAGTTCAGTTTCGGAGTATGTAGGTCAAAGGTCATAGTTCATTAAATGTGCAAATCTGGTTTCTATTCGATAACTTTAGTAATGTTTGACGGATTTTAATGAAATTTGATAGGAAGGTACATGCTATCAAAATACAGCATAAGTTCAGTTTCGGAGTATGTAGGTCAAAGGTCATAGCTCATTAAATATGCGAATCTGGTTTCTGTTTGATAACTTTAGTATTATTTGATGGATTTTCATGAAATTCGATATGAAGGTACATAGTATAAAAACACAGCATAAGTTCAATTTCCGAGTATGTAGGTCAAAGGTCATGGCTCATTAAATATGCGAATCTGGTTTCCGATTGATAACTTTAGTAATGTTTGACAGATTTTAATCAAATTTGATATGAAGGTACATGCTATCAAAATACAGCATAAGTTCAGTTTCGAAGTATGTAGGTCAAAGGTCATAGTTCATTAAATGTGCAAATCTGGTTTCTATTCGATAACTTTAGTAATGTTTGACGGATTTTAATGAAATTTGATAGGAAGGTACATGCTATCAAAATACAGCATAAGTTCAGTTTCGGAGTATGTAGGTCAAAGGTCATAGCTCATTAAATATGCGAATCTGGTTTCTGTTTGATAACTTTAGTATTATTTGATGGATTTTCATGAAATTCGATATGAAGGTACATGGTATAAAAACACAGCATAAGTTCAATTTCGGAGTATGTAGGTCAAAGGTCATAGCTCATTAAATATGCGAATCTGGTTTCTGATATCGATAACTTTAGTAATGTTTGACGGATTTTAATCAAATTTGATATGAAAGTACATGGCATCAAAACATGGCCTTAGTTTGATTTCCTAGTATGTACCCTGCGAGGGGATGCTATGCTTTGCGTTGACTTGTTTTATTTATGTCATTTAGCATTATGAATGAGGGCTCATTATTTGTATTTATTGTAATATATTGATATTGGTATTTTATTAAATGTAATTTTTTGTTTTGTTTTGTTTGTATTTTAGGTTACTGAGAGTTGAAGAGAGAGTTGCAGAAAGTAAGTTGATATGCTTAGAAAGGCTGAAGTCAAGTAGTTTTTAAATTAAAGCTATGATGGAATGAAACAGATCCGCATAATTGGGAACAATTGAATGCAGAATACGAAAGCTATGGCTTTAAGAAATTTTCTATATAACTTTTTGACACTACCAAGTTACTTTTAATTATGTCAGTAAAGGTATAGACCAGTTTTGGAAAAGCCCCCCTCTCAAAAAATGAAATGGTACCTTTTTTTAACAATCATGTGAAAGAATATGTTTTGACTAATACCTGATGATACAAATTTTGATACTAATTGATATATTTGGTAAATTATTATATCTATCCGGAGTGGATAGATATCGCGCATGTGTCGCATAGTCCCATATACATCTTTCTGTGTACAGTGCTTGTAACTTTACCATGACTGGGTCAAATTTCTCATCATTTTGATGATCCAGAACCTTTCAGTACACACCAATACTTACCGAATATGCTAGATGATCAACCTTTTGTGATTGATTTCACAACGTTTTTTTCGCAATGCAATCGCATGACCAAAACTGGTCTTGAATGAGGGCTCACTATTTGTATTTATTTTTGTAATATATTCATATTGGTTTTTTATAAAATGCAATTGTTTTTTTCTTTTCTTTTTTTATTTCTAGTGCTTTTAATCAACAAATGTCAGTTTGATTAAAGAAATGACCCACACCAGACGGTTATTTCTGTCTATGACTCTCTATGTTTTGCTGGAGTGTGGGGTGGAGGGGGGGGGGGGGAGTCACAGGTTGAACATTGGCACATAGAGAGGTCAAAAGTCATTTGAGGTCAAGCGTTAAAGTTTACCTGCAACCTCAGCTACACTACAAACACAAACACATTTTACCTTCACACATGTAAAATATCAATGCAATAATTCTACTCGTATCAAAGGGGGAGGGAGTAGATGCAGTGGAAGCAGGTGAAAGGCAGTAGCATATCATGTAATACCCCTTCTCAAAGTTTATGGGATGTTGCATTCTATGGCAGATATTTTAAAATCAGCTTGCGATAGGCCCTACAATTCTTATAGATGGCAATGGACATTGCGATATTCTAGTTATTTTCACAAGTGGGCGAGACACAACATCGCTAATGCCTTGTTTAAACTGAAAAGTCATCCACAAAGTAGATGAGGTTTAGACATTGGTCAGTTAAAAATTTATGTTGTGCCACCACCCATGATAATGTCATTACAGAAATGGTACAATTTGAAACAGGAAAAGAGCTTAAAATGAAAATGCATTGAAGTACTGTACCTAAACAAAATATTGATATTAACATTATTTCTGAACTGTTGGTTCTTACAAAAGTTATTGATTTCGGTCTAAGTAGCAGTTTGGGATGTAATGTGGTGTTTGAATCTTTCCATTTCAGATTTGATAGATCTACTCTTACTGTTGGACAGTTACTGAGAGAGAAGCAAGGAGGCAGAGGTAAATTCAGCTCTTACTGTTGGACAGTTAGTGAGAGGGAAGCAGGGAGGAAGAGGTGAATAGAGCTCTTATTGTTGAACATTTACTGAGAGAGAAGCAAGGAGGCAGAGGTGAATAGAGCTCTTACTCTTGGACAGTTATTTAGAGAGAAGCAAGGAGGCAGAGGTAAATAGAGTTGTTACTGTTGGACAGTTATTGAGAGACGAGCAAGGAGGAAGAGGTGAATAGAGCTCTTACTGTTGGACAGTTACTGACACAGAAGCAAGGAGGCAGAGGTGAATAGAACTCTTACTGTTGGACAGTTAATGAGAGAGAAGCAAGGAGGCAGAGGTAAATAGAACTCTTATTGTTGGACAGTTACTGACACAGAAGCAAGGAGGCAGAGGTGAATAGAACTCTTACTGTTGGACAGTTAATGAGAGAGAAGCAAGGAGGCAGAGGTAAATAGAGTTGTTACTGTTGGACAGTTATTTAGAAGGAGGGGATCTAGACCCCTGTATTATGCTGCTCGCTGTCGAAGCCCTTCCTTGTGTGTGCCTTAAGTACAAATCTGGTTTAAAATCAATAACTTTAGAGTAATGTTTGACGGATTTTAATGAAATTTGATATGAAGGTAAATGGTATAAAAACACCGCATAAGTTCAATTTCAGAGTATGTAGGTCAAAGGTCATAGCTCATTAAATATGCGAATCTGGTTTCTGTTCGATAACTTTAGTAATATTTGATGGATTTTCATGAAATTCGATATGAAGGTACAGGGTATAAAAACGAGGCATAAGTTCAATTTCCGAGTATGTAGGTCAAAGGTCATGGCTCATTAAATATGCGAATCTGGTTTCCGATTGATAACTTTAGTAATGTTTGACAGATTTTAATCAAATTTGATATGAAGGTACATGCTATCAAAATACAGCATAAGTTCAGTTTCGGAGTATGTAGGTCAAAGGTCATAGTTCATTAAATGTGCAAATCTGGTTTCTATTCGATAACTTTAGTAATGTTTGACGGATTTTAATGAAATTTGATAGGAAGGTACATGCTATCAAAATACAGCATAAGTTCAGTTTCGGAGTATGTAGGTCAAAGGTCATAGCTCATTAAATATGCGAATCTGGTTTCTGTTTGATAACTTTAGTATTATTTGATGGATTTTCATGAAATTCGATATGAAGGTACATGGTATAAAAACACAGCATAAGTTCAATTTCGGAGTATGTAGGTCAAAGGTCATAGCTCATTAAATATGCGAATCTGGTTTCTGATATCGATAACTTTAGTAATGTTTGACGGATTTTAATCAAATTTGATATGAAAGTACATGGCATCAAAACATGGCCTTAGTTTGATTTCCCAGTATGTACCCTGCGAGGGGATGCTATGCTTTGCGTTGACTTGTTTTATTTATGTCATTTAGCATTATGAATGAGGGCTCATTATTTGTATTTATTGTAATATATTGATATTGGTATTTTATTAAATGTAATTTTTTGTTTTGTTTTGTTTGTATTTTAGGTTACTGAGAGTTGAAGAGAGAGTTGCAGAAAGTAAGTTGATATGCTTAGAAAGGCTGAAGTCAAGTAGTTTTTAAATTAAAGCTATGATGGAATGAAACAGATCCGCATAATTGGGAACAATTGAATGCAGAATACGAAAGCTATGGCTTTAAGAAATTTTCTATATAACTTTTTGACACTACCAAGTTACTTTTAATTATGTCAGTAAAGGTATAGACCAGTTTTGGAAAAGCCCCCCTCTCAAAAAATGAAATGGTACCTTTTTTTAACAATCATGTGAAAGAATATGTTTTTGACTAATAGCTGATGATACAAATTTTGATACTAATTGATATATTTGGTAAATTATTATATCTATCCGGAGTGGATAGATATTGCGCATGTGTCGCATAGTCCCATATACATCTTTCTGTGTACAGTGCTTGTAACTTTACCATGACTGGGTCAAATTTCTCATCATTTTGATGATCCAGAACCTTTCAGTACACACCGATACTTACCGTATATGCTAGATGATCAACCTTTTGTGATCGATTTCACAACGTTTTTTTCGCAATGCAATCGCATGACCAAAACTGGTCTTGAATGAGGGCTCACTATTTGTATTTATTTTTGTAATACATTCATATTGGTTTTTTATAAAATGCAATTGTTTTTTTTTTTCTTTTTTTATTTCTAGTGCTTTTAATCAACAAATGTCAGTTTGATTAAAGAAATGACCCACACCAGACGGTTATAAATCTATGACTCTCTATGTTTTGCTGGAGTGTGGGGTGGAGGGGGGGGGGGGGGGGGGGGGGGGGGGGGGGGGGGGGTCACAGGTTGAACATTGGCACATAGAGAGGTCAAAAGTCATTTGAGGTCAAGCGTTAAAGTTTACCTGCAACCTCAGCTACACTACAAACACAAACACATTTTACCTTCACACATGTAAAATATCAATGCAATAATTCTACTCGTATCAAAGGGGGAGGGAGTAGATGCAGTGGAAGCAGGTGAAAGGCAGTAGCATATCATGTAATACCCCTTCTCAAAGTTTATGGGATGTTGCATTCTATGGCAGATATTTCAAAATCAGCTTGCGATAGGCCCTACAATTCTTATAGATGGCAATGGACATTGCGATATTCTAGTTATTTTCACAAGTGGGCGAGACAACATCGCTAATGCCTTGTTTTAACTGAAAAGTCATCCACAAAGTAGATGAGGTTTAGACATTGGTCAGTTAAAAATTTATGTTGTGCCACCACCCATGATAATGTCATTACAGAAATGGTACAATTTGAAACAGGAAAAGAGCTTAAAATGAAAATGCATTGAAGTACTGTACCTAAACAAAATATTGATATTAACATTATTTCTGAACTGTTGGTTCTTACAAAAGTTATTGATTTCGGTCTAAGTAGCAGTTTGGGATGTAATGTGGTGTTTGAATCTTTCCATTTCAGATTTGATAGATCTACTCTTACTGTTGGACAGTTACTGAGAGAGAAGCAAGGAGGCAGAGGTAAATTCAGCTCTTACTGTTGGACAGTTAGTGAGAGGGAAGCAGGGAGGAAGAGGTGAATAGAGCTCTTATTGTTGAACATTTACTGAGAGAGAAGCAAGGAGGCAGAGGTGAATAGAGCTCTTACTCTTGGACAGTTATTTAGAGAGAAGCAAGGAGGCAGAGGTAAATAGAGTTGTTACTGTTGGACAGTTATTGAGAGACGAGCAAGGAGGAAGAGGTGAATAGAGCTCTTACTGTTGGACAGTTACTGACACAGAAGCAAGGAGGCAGAGGTGAATAGAACTCTTACTGTTGGACAGTTAATGAGAGAGAAGCAAGGAGGCAGAGGTAAATAGAACTCTTATTGTTGGACAGTTACTGACACAGAAGCAAGGAGGCAGAGGTGAATAGAACTCTTACTGTTGGACAGTTAATGAGAGAGAAGCAAGGAGGCAGAGGTAAATAGAGTTGTTACTGTTGGACAGTTATTGAGAGACAAGCAAGGAGGAATAGGTGAATAGAGCTGTTACTGTTGGACAGTTACTGAGACAGAAGCAAGGAGGCAGAGGTGAATAGAGCTCTTACTGTTGGACAGTTACTGACACAGAAGCAAGGAGGCAGAGGTGAACAGAACTCTTACTGTTGGACAGTTAATGAGAGAGAAGCAAGGAGGCAGAGGTAAATAGAACTCTTATTGTTGGACAGTTACTGACACAGAAGCAAGGAGGCAGAGGTGAATAGAACTCTTACTGTTGGACAGTTAATGAGAGAGAAGCAAGGAGGCAGAGGTAAATAGAGTTGTTACTGTTGGACAGTTATTGAGAGACAAGCAAGGAGGAAGAGGTGAATAGAGCTGTTACTGTTGGACAGTTACTGAGACAGAAGCAAGGAGGCAGAGGTGAATAGAGCTCTTACTGTTGGACAGTTGATGAGAGAGAAGCAAGGAGGCAGAGGTAAATAGAGTTGTTACTGTTGGACAGTTATTGAGAGACAAGCAAGGAGGAAGAGGTGAATAGAGCTGTTACTGTTGGACAGTTACTGAGACAGAAGCAAGGAGGCAGAGGTGAATAGAGCTCTTACTGTTGGACAGTTACTGACACAGAAGCAAGGAGGCAGAGGTGAATAGAACTCTTACTGTTGGACAGTTAATGAGAGAGAAGCAAGGAGGCAGAGGTAAATAGAACTCTTATTGTTGGACAGTTACTGACACAGAAGCAAGGAGGCAGAGGTGAATAGAACTCTTACTGTTGGACAGTTAATGAGAGAGAAGGAAGGAGGCAGAGGTAAATAGAGTTGTTACTGTTGGACAGTTATTGAGATGGATATGATATATTTAAGTGTAATTTGGGACTCGGGTTCTGGTTATTTATAGGGAAAGAACCATTAGTAATTACCATAGTAACATTGCTCGATAGCTTATCAAAATCAAGAAATCAATGGTATTTACTATAGTAAACTATAGTAACTATAGTAAACTTCCCGCGGGAAACTGCCAAAAAAATAAACGGTCAACAGGGTTGTGAACGCAAATGAACACGCTCCATTTGAAATTGCCATGACCGCCACAACAAATTTAACATGTTTAATTTTTGAAGCGGTTCCTGGCAGTATGCACAGATCACTCCGGATTAGGGCTGTAGTATTCCAAAAACGGTTATCCTCCCTCCGAATCCGTTTGGTTTTCGGTTAACCTATACCGAATTGTGAGACATAATTTTAATCTGATATGTATCAATTTGCTTGGATTAAACACCAAAGTGTTTTATTTTCTTTAGTGGTACAAGGGTTTTGTAGTACTATCAGCCTAATTTCATTCATTTTCTTTGAAAATGTGATTGAACAATAATGATTTTTTTTTTCAAGGGGGGGGTTTTAACATTTATAAATCGGCCCGAAAAATCGCAACGACTCAGCCGACCGCTGAATAAGCGGGGGGGGGGGGGTAAGAGGACACTTTTTTTTTTTTTTTTGTGGTCTCAATATTTGAAAATCTGACATTTTGCTCCGTTGGGGGGGGGGGGGGGGGGTAAGGTCACCTTTTTTAGGTCAGCCATGAAAATATTTTTTTTTTTTAATAAAAAAAAAAAAAAAAAATCCAAAGGGGGGGGTTTTGGGGGGGATTACGGGGGGGTTTACACATATAAAAATACCAAAGGGGGGGGGGGGGGGGGCGGGTGTAACCCCTCAAACACACCCCCCCCCCCCCTGTGTACGCGCCTGATCTCTGCAAACTATGGTAATTGTATCCCCCGGCAGTATGTCGGTGGGGTACTTTTGATTCAGCAGCGTTACGCCGCCCCGTCATCTTGTGTGCGCTCTAACTGCCACATTTCTTTACAGATATCTTTCAAATTTTGTATGGAGGTGTATCTTGGTATAATCTACACACCTATAACTTTTGGTGATGCTGCCCCCTGTGTTCCGTCTTCTATAGGGTAAAAGGCCATATTTTATTCTTGTGTGCGCTCTAACTGCCACATTTCTTGACTAATTTCTTTCAAATTTTGTATGGAGGTGTATCTTGGTATAATCTACACACCTATAACTTTTGTTGATGCTGCCCCCAGTGTTCGGTCTTCTATAGGGTAAAAAGCCATATTTTATTCTTGTGTGCGCACTAACTGCCACATTTCTTGACAGATTTCTTTCAAATTTTGTATGGAGATGTATCTTGGTATAATCTACACACCTATAACTTTTGGTGGTGCTGCTGCCCTCAGTGTTCCGTCTTCTATAGGTTAAATGGCCATATTCTTTGGATGGTTTGGGTGTGCTCTATGGGCCTCATTTTTCAAGGGATTTTGTTCAATTTTTAACAAAGGTGTATCTCGGTAGAATCTACAAGCCTATAGATTTTTGTGATGCTGCCTCCAGTGTTCCGCTTTTATAGGGTCAAAGGTCATACTTTGATAGATGTCTTTGTGGCACTGTAGTTTGCGGTCTAATTGCATCATTACTTAACAGATTTCTTTCAAATTTTGTATGGAGATGTATCTTGGTATAATCTACACACCTATAACTTGTGGTGGTGCTGCCCTCAGTGTTCCGTCTTCTATAGGTTAAATGGCCATATTCTTTTGGATGGTTTGTGTGTGCTCTATGGGCCTCATTTTTCAAGAGATTTTGTTCAAATTTTCAACAAAGGTGTATCTTGGTATAATCTACACATCTACTCTTTTGGGCAATGCTGCCCTCATTTTTCTGTCTTTTATATGGTCAAAGTTTATATATGTCTTTTATGCGCTCTAACTGCCACATTTTTTGACAGATTTCTTTCATATGTATGATGGAGGTGTGTCTGAGTACGATCTACACATCGTTCGTGTTTTGGTGATGCTGCCACCTGTGTTCCGTCTGTTATAGGGTCAAAGGTCATAGTTTGGTGGATGTCTTTTGTGCGCTCTAACTGCCACATTTCTTGACAGATTTCTTTCAAATTTTCTACAGAGATGCATTATACTTAATCTACACGTATATTGTTTTGATGATGCTGCTCCTAGTCTTGACAATAGTCTGAGCCACAATTGGCGGTCTCTACGTCATCCTTTTGATTCAGGGAGGGGGGGAGAGGGGATCTTTGTCCCTCCTTCGACCATAAGGATGACACAAAATAGCTGCCACTGCCGGGGGATACATTCGCATTGCGCGTCAATACAGATTGCGATATTTCTAGTTACCATAGTTACAGTGCTTGATAGCTAATAAAAATCAAGAAATCAATGGTATTTACCATAATTTGCAGAGATAGCATTAATTGTAAGATACGATAGTTTTATGCAATGGGTCGTGATGGTTGATATGTATGACATACTGAGTTGTTATAATGAGGTTGCACTGTATTATGAAATAATAATAATAATCTGTTTTTTTATATAGCGCTCAATACACCGATCCAACAATGTGCCTAAGCGCTTTACAGATATATTATTACCCCGGTCATCGGATTCAGGCTTACCCGCACACAATGTGTGCACATTTTCGCAACGACTCAGCCAGCCGCTGAATAAGCAGGGGGGGGGGGGGGGGGGGGGGGGGGGGGGGGGGGGG